TTATTTGTTTTTAAATATGTTCTTATTAGTCATTTAATGTTAAACAAGAACCACTAACTATTGTATAACCAAACAGTTATATTTATTGAATCCGCTATTTATCATCCGCTACCCACTTTCCACTATCCGCTACCCACTTTCCACTATCCGCTAACCGCTATCCACTAACTGCTAACCGCTGACCACTACCCACTACCCGGTACCGCTATCTGCTATCCGCTATCCGCTACCCGCTACTCGCTACCCGCTACTCGCTACTCGCTACTCGCTACCCGGTACCGCTATCCGCTATCCGCTACCCGCTATCCGCTATCCGCTGAATTTTAACCGCTATACCAAACAGGTCCTTAGCTTATTTTTTTGTATAATTTGATGTATTATTAAAATAATTAATTTTTTTAATTTATATAAAATTTATAATATTAAATATATTTACTAATTCAATTTAATTCGTGGGGTGAAAATTATATAAAAATAAAGGGAAAAAAAGGTGGCTCGTAGCACCACCCATGTTCTTTTATGGTCAAATCCAACCCAATGTCATGTAATAGCACGAGATGCCTGCAATTGCTGGAGAAATGCAAGAACTTGAAACAGCTAAAGCAAGCTCATGCGCAGGCAATCATTTGTGGACTCGGCGGTAACAATTTTGCTTTGAGCAGGCTATTAGCTTTCTGCTCCGACCCAAATCATGGCAGTCTCAGCTACGCGTGGAACCTGTTTCGGCACATTCAACGCCCCACCCTTTGCATCCTCAACACCATGATGAAGGCTTTCTTGCTCAATGGTGACCTCGCCAACACCATAAATGCTTATTCCCTAATGTTGTTCAACGGTATGTACCCAGATAATTATACTTTACCCTATGTGTTAAAGGCTTGCGCAAAGCTGCAATCTAGTTTGCTAGGAGAATTAGTTCACGGACATTGTTTGAAACTGTGCTTTTTGTCTGATACTTTTGTGGGTAATTCTTTGATTTATATGTATTGCGCGTTTGATAATGTGAGAGCAGCAAGGTACATATTCAATGAAATTACTGACCCAAATGTTATGTCATGGACGCTTATGATTTCTGGGTATGCAAAAGTGAGTGACGTTGACGCTGCAAGATCTTTGTTTGATGAGGCATCGGTGAAGGATAGAGGAATATGGGGTGCCATGATTTCTGGGTATACGAAGAATAGTTGTTTCAAGGAGGCATTGTATATGTTCCGATTGATGCAATTGACTGATGTTGAGCCGGATGAGGCCGTATTTGCGTCCATTCTTTGTGCTTGTGCTCACTTGGGTGCTTTGGACACTGGAATTTGGATTCACAGATATTTGGATAAACAGAAGTTGCCATTGAGTTTGCGTCTGGGCACTGGTCTCATAGATATGTATGCAAAATGTGGGAATTTGAATATGGCCAAAAAGGTGTTTGATGAAATGCCTGAAAGAGATGTTATTTGCTGGAATGCTATGATTTCAGGAATGGCAGTGCAGGGAGATGGAGAAAGAGCACTTGAGCTGTTCAGGGAGATGGAGAAAGCTGGGGTGAGGCCAGATGATATTACTTTCATTGTGATTTTCACTGCTTGTTGTTATTCTGGTGTGGTATTTGAAGGCATAAAAATGCTAGATAAAATGTGTAATGTGTACAATATTGAGCCTAAAAGTGAACATTATGGATGTATGGTTGACCTACTCAGCAGAGGTGGGCACCTGGAAGAAGCAGTACAAGTAATTCAAATGATGCCCAATTCAAGTAATCCGTCTGATGAAGCCATAGCTTGGAGGGCATTGCTGAGTGCATGTTGTAGTCATGGACACACCAAACTGGCTGAGTCTGCTGCTAAGAAGCTGGCGCAGTTAGAGCATCACAGTGGGGCATATGTTCTGCTTGCAAATCTATATGCAGCCGCTGGGAAACATGATGATGCCAAAAGAATGAGGAAGATGATGAAAAGCAGAGGGGTCTATAAGGTTCCAGGATGCAGCTCAGTCAAGATAAATGGGGTAGTTCATGAGTTCATTGCAGGAGAGAAAAGCCATCCCCAAATAGCGGAAATACATTTACTTTTGGAGAAATTAGACAAGCAGTTGGAATGTTAAATCTGGAACCTCATTTGTTTCTGGTTGAAGCGCACTGATCCATGGAATATTTATGGATGATCCATTTATATTGTGAACATCTGGACAACAGCTTCAATGTTCAATCATTTTTCCTCATGTCATGCTATTGTTTATACCAATGGTTCCGTCAGCCAAGTAATGGCATTCAATAAAGAGTCTAGAAGGCTTTCCACTCGCACCTGGAAAGGATTTAAAGACACTTTATGGCATAATTTGGCAGAAGATTTCCACGGCTATTGTAATTTCAAGCTTTCTAGTTGACATGGGAAACTGAAGGCCATTGCCCAAGTATTGTTGGGTAATATTGGAGGTAATCTTCTCAACTATAAAATGAAGGGTTGACTGCCATCTGGCCATGGGCATGATTTGTTGTTTCAAGGTCTGAGTCATAATAATGGTAATGAGCAACTGGTTATCTTCTGGAAGACTGCTGGTGCTGGGTTCCAACTGCTCTACACTCACCTACGCCAGCTTCATCTCAGGAGCTTTGAGTTTGTCATTTGTTGTTGAAGAGGGGTCGCAAATGGGCTAAAATCAACATTTAGCCCCTCACCTTACAAAATTGGTAGGTTTTAGCCCCTAATCTTATAATATCACACTTTTAGCCTTTAACTTACAAAGTTTGTAGGTTTTAACCCCTTACCTTACAAAATTGATAGATTTTAACTCATCACTTTATATTATGACATTTTTAACCTCTTATCTGTATGAATTGAAGAAAATAGCTTTTATTTAACATAAGGTTTTAATGTTTTATTAGTTTTGCTAGCTGATTGTCAGTTCTGCTAGCTGACTGTCAGTTTTGTTAGCTGATTGTCAATTCTGTTAGCTAATTGTCAGTTTTATTAGCTGATTGTTAGTTTTGTTAGTTGACTGTTAACATCCGTTAGCATTCTGTTAATAAAATTAACAAATAAAATTGAATTTAAATTTCATATTTTTTTATAACACATATTGATAGTCAACTACCAGAACTAATAAAATGTTATAACCTGATGTTAGGTGAGGGTTATTTTCTTTAATTTGTATCAGTGCTGTATTAAAAATATTATAATATAAGGTAAATGGTTAAAATTTATTAACTTTGTAAGATGAGAGGTTAAAACTTACTAACTTTATAAGATAAAAAAATTAAAATTATCATGTTATAAAATGAAAGATTAAAATTTACCAATTTTTAAAAATGAGAAATTAAAACCTATTAATTTTATAAAATAAGAGGCTAAATGTTCATTTTTATCTCACAAATGTGATAAGAAAAAAGTATCCAATCGTAAGGGAGGGTAACGACATCTTAAAAATCCATGTTTGGCTTTTAGGGGACAGGCTGACATGACAGGGCAGCCTTATAAATATGAAGATTGGGGAGATACCGCGATCCACCAACCGCCTTGCTATGAAATATTTTTTTCCATGAAACAAATTGACCCCAGACAATCTTTGGGAGATTGGTGACCCCGCACCCTTTATTCCATGAAAAAATTGATGTGGCTTACTTTGTGAAGATGGTAAGGTCACTATTGCTGTGCCACTACAGAGAAGATCAGAGAAGACTGCTGTGAAGTAGTAGATGCAGACTCAGCTCTTGGGTGAAGAACAGGCACTGTATGAATTGCAAATGGATTGAATCCCAACAGTAAATGGTTATTTTGAAATTGATAGCTAGAATGCTAATAAAGCTGCTGACTAGGTTTTGAAGCCAGAAGTAGATGTGCTAGTCCAGTCAACTTGGTTAGCATCATGTCTTCTGATTCTCATTGTTGCACTTATTTGAAAAAAAAAAAACAAATCTGTGTTCACTTTCTATAACTGGGAAAGTAGATACTGGTAGTGTTATCTTTTGCCGTCACCTTTTGGCCATGTTGGATTCCTAGTTACATTTCAACTTCATTCAACTTAGTGTACCCTCAACTTATTTATTTATTTATTTTCTTTTGGTATGATGCTTAGCAATTGCAGAGACTGAACTCCTGAATTCAATTCAACGCTATTCAACACCAAATTAGGGTCACACCACTAATGGATATCAACTTGGTTCGGCTCTTCTTAATGTTACTTTATCATAATTCACAAGTAGGCAACCGTGAAGCGGAACAACTAGACCTTCAGCCAAACATATTGCATTTCACTCGGTTACCAATTGTTTGTGCACCTCACTTAAAGAACCTGGGACCAATTTTTTGTATCAGTTTAACCTCTTAGTCCACCAACCACACAAACAAACAACCAAAAGATGACATTGCATCAGAGAAACATGGAATAAGAGATAATGATAATGCAGTCAAATTCTGTAACTTAAAGGAATACCATATTAAAGCTATTTACAATTTAAGCAACAAGAAAACATCAATGTTATGCTTAAAGAGATGGTCCTTGAACAGGATGATTCTACAAGGAAAAAACTTATATTTTTCAAAAAGAATTAGATCAAGCCCTATAATGTAATAATGTAAGTATAACCATGATATGAGAAAAGAAAGTAAATATATGGTATTTTGACTAAACTAGGAACTCCGTGTCAAAAGAAAGTTCTAGGACTTTATGGACACCTATTGGTTTTACTCCTGATTTGAATGCATTTCCTTCAACATACCTGTGAAGAAAATTAAGTCAGATTAATACAAGAGTAACAAGAATCAGAAATTTTTTCAAAACAAAGAGGTGAAAAAACTTACATTTCCTTCAAGAATGGATGTTTATAAAAAGTATTAGCAATTTTTCCTGTAAATTGATTGTGATCCAAGTACCTGCGATTCAATTCAGAACACCATGAGAACTTATGTGTAAACAAATTATTTTGCACAAAAGTGATGCAGATATAATGCCTGGAAGGTATAAGAATGCCACTAAAAAGCTGCTGGTGAACATGCCACCAGCAATTGCAAAATTAACTATGAAAGCTAGAAGAAATAGAAAACCCATATTCCAGCAGAGCCATGCACATAATCTTCTCTACAAGACCCAACAACTGAAAACCCAAAATCCAAGGAAAGTTGAAGTCATAAGAACTTAAAAGAAAAAGAATAGCATTTAAAACAGGCATATTAGTTTTATGAAGTGTGCATAACCAACATGTATGACCAATTCCTCCCAGTGATTAAAAATGTGTCATGTCTCAATGGAAAGTAACATACTATGTCCAAATAATTTATTGACAGATAAGATACTTTGATAAAGTGGGAAAGAGACAAGACAGGTTTAGAATTCAAATTTTTTCAACCAAAAAATCAAATATATAAAGTTTTGCTAAGAAGTAGAGAATAAAGACTGCTAATTTCACGGGCATTGTGATGGAAAATGGAAACTGATCCCTGCTACGAGTCCCATCCTAATAAAAGCATTACCCACTATAAAACCCAGTTTGGCAGAAATTAAAACAATTAACAAATACTTAGCAAGGAACTTACAAATAAGTTAATCGAGGGATTTGGGCAACTTCAGACGGTATTACCCCACTCATTTTGTTGTAGGACAGATGCCTATAAACAGTAAAGTAATGAAATGAAAATGGATGAGATACACTAACATGCTAGTAAAAGAAACGAATAAGCAATATTGTATTTCACATTCACAGGGGTGAAATTCATCACTTACAAGATCTCCAGGTTGGTCAGTTCTGCTGTCTGTGCAGGAACCCCTCCCGTTAAGTAATTATTATTCAGATAACTAGACACCAGAGTTACGGACATATTAGTAAAATTAGAAATGCATTTATACTGCGTTTTGCCAAATCATGAAAGTGAATGTCAACAATAAAATGAATTTTTAACATACAGGTTCCTCAGGGCTGGAAAGCAACCCTCATTGCGTATGAGTTCCCTTAGAGTCCCCACCAAATGATTGTTACCAACATCTCTACAAACATATGGTATTACAGTGAGACAATGCCAAAAAGGAAGTTTACCCTAGCACAGTATACCTAAAAGAGATGATGGATTCTTACAGATGCCGAAGATTCTTTAATGTGCCCAACTCTGGTGGAATATGGCCTGAAAAACGATTTTCGTGCAAGTGTAGATACCTAAGCTCTGGGAGATTTGCAAGCTCCTTTGGGATTTCCCCTTTGAAATTGTTGAAGCTAAGATACCTACAGTATAAAAATTCTATATTTCACAATTTCTCAATGGAATAAAGTATGAAAAATAAATTCTTTTAAAAAATTTCAGTAAATCATCAGTAAGCAAATTCTTTCTACTCACAGATGTGTCAGACTCTTTAGTTCACCAATTTCAGGAGGAAGGACATCTTGTAGTTTATTCCACCTCAAATTTCTGAGTAAAAAACCAAAAACCACTCAACTTCATAAAGATAAAGAGCACAATAACTAACAAGGCCTCAAAAATCAAACAAGAAAACATCCATAGTTTCCTTATCAGGGCATTCAATCTAAAAATATATTGCTGCTAGTTGGATACTAAAAACACTAAAATCATGTTTGGTTGGGAGTAAGGGCTATTCCTTGCTTATACTGTAAAAATAAGGCAAAATTAAAAATCTTACCTTAAAAGCTAGGAATGCATGTTCCTTAAGAAGGATAATTTTCGACTAATTTAGTAGTGGATGTTAAGGAATAGCTATTACTACCTCTCTTAAGGAATATTGAGCAAGGAGACTTGGAGAGTGAACATGAGACCGAATTGGAATTGAACCACTATAGATCATTGTGTTTGTTCTTTTCTTTCCCTTCCTTCTTTTACATTTCCACCCTTCAAATTTATATGATTATATCATTTGTTTGCAAATTGTGATTGAATGGACTTGAGTCTAATAAATATAGAACATTAGCAATCCAAGTTAAAATTTATTAAGTTCTTAAAATTGCATGGAAATTTAAATTCCCAGTTTACTCCTCGTGGATTGTTTACACTTGGGTCCTTCCCTCTTCTAAGGTATTGCTAAAAGCTGGAAATATTCATCCCTTACTTCAATCACACTTATCCAATTTAACCGTCAATCACACCATAACCAAACATGACTTAAATGCTATGTACCAATCAACAACCATATTGAAGGCTATAGGAGTTGTTGAAGGTGACATACAGTATTTTAAGATGCTTGAGCCGTCCGATTTCCGGCGGGATTGGCCCAGTCAGCTTGTTATTATGCAGATCCCTGCCATATGCAACAATCAAGGAGATTAATAACATCTGTACTTTAACTGATTTTCCATCTAGAATTAAATAGATTCTCACAAATAAAAGTCGAATGGTTGTTAGGGAGGAAAAAAGAAGAAGAAGAAGATGAAGAAGATGAAGAAGAAGAAGAATCGTACAGCCTCGTAAGATCCAACAAATTGGTAACAGCAACAGGAAACGGCCCCACAATCGACACTGCATAAACTTCCCTGAAAATGAACAAGAATCAAAACCTCGGATGGAAATTTCAAATCCAATCCAACTTGAAAATAGATTGCAAGATAACAGCATACAATTCAGTGACAACTCTGTAGTCGCCCTCGGTGGTGCAGGTGACGCCGGACCAAGGCTTCAGATCTCCATCACCGCAGGGGTCATCGCCGATCCAAGCATACACCACTCTCCAACCCAGCGAGGCCTTGATTTCATTCAAGGCTTTAACTGCCAAAAGGGAAAACGAGGTTAAGTGACTATTTGAGAAAGCAAAAAGAGGGAAACAGGTCAGGAAATTACCGTCGCGTTTGAGAGTTTTGGCGGATGAGAGATGGAGAAGCAGGCTCGAAATGAGGAAGAGGAGAATGAGAGAAGAAGAAGATGGGCGCGCCATTTTCATTTACATGGAAGTTCTATGGGTCCATAGAGGACTAAAATAAGTTATCTGTGTGAGTGATTGTAGCGAAGGATTTTGTTTTTTTAGCAAGATATCTTGCAGTCTGAATTCATCGTCATGGACACGGTATTGAAGCCCTGCCAGTCGGTGTTATTTCTTCAGCTCCTAAACTTTATTTCTACCCGAATTTTGCCCCCTCATGAATTTAAATCCGGATTTTGCCCCCTTACTTTTCAATCCGTCATGAAACTAATTCAAGTACTTGTAAATATTGCCTAAGAACTTACATAAATCATTGGTAATCAGTTTTTACTAAAAATAAAAAATTTTGAATTTAAATCATATGGTATATATATGTAAGATGAGATAAACAATAAAAGAGAGTTGCTTCTTATGTGCAATTTAAGATAAAAAAATATACTTATAAATGTTGGTAAGGCAAAGTCGATAATTAAAATACAAAAATTCATCATAATTTTTTTGGAAGGTGCAAGGATAGGTTCAAAGGTCTTGAACAGACATACTGCTACAATTCCTTAATAGCCGAAGTGAAATTAAATCCAGTACTTTTCGGTCAAATGACTGCATGATAAATACAATGAACATGCCCACACCTGATTTGTCACACACAATTTCCCGGTCCCGAAATTATCGCCTAAAGGGATACGTCACACTCCGATTATATTGTTAAGCAAGTCACGTTGACATCTCATGGAGGCCTATAAATACCCCTCACGGGCTACCTAAAAAGGTAATTGAAACCAACGTAAAAACTCCTTTTTCATTATTCTAGAGGTAGATTCGATTATTGCTAACTTAAGTATCAGAGTGTCTATCCCAAGAACCTACTTGAGGCTTTGCAGGTTCATTTGGAGTAAAGACACGGGCTAAAAAAAACTTTTGGTTTGGTGCAATTGTAGAAGGTAACTCTTTGTCAAAAGAAACAATTACGGTATAGTTATCATCACCATTAATATTGACATGGCTACCAAAACTTCAATTTTTTAAAAAAATAGTGTATAAAAATATCAATTTATTAATTGATTTTAATTTTTAATTAATAAATATTAAATATTCTATCAATTAAAAATTACAAATTATTAATTATTTTTATAAATCAAATCAAATAGAATTATTATTTTTTAAATAATATTTTAGACGTAATATTATCATTGATGGTTATAACCGTATCCAAATAATTGTTGTTATTACTGTTATCATTGATGACTTTTAGTTAGCTTGCATTTAGATGATATGGCAATACTAGATATTGGCGTGAATTAGGAAGTATTGAATTTTTGGGTTTTAAGACTACCGTTTTGGGAGAAAATATTTTCTGTTAACTCTGCATACCAGTCAAATGCCTAAGTGGGGTTGTGTTCTGTTTTGGCAGTTTGATTGGAGCTTACGGTTGGATCTGATTTGAGGTGGCTTTTTAATGTAAAAAAAAAAAAAAATTGATTGCCATTGAGGTTTCGTAGTTACAAAAGTCAGCATACAAATTCTAAATGCAAACTTAATTTAATTTTTGGACAATGATTAATGAATTACCTCAACCGCTGCAACACAAAGCATTTCTAACTTCTTTGCTCTTGGATTAGTTTCAGTAGCAGTAATTTTTTTCTTTTAAAAAAGGTTACCCATCGGTGGAAAAAATCCCGTCCAGCATGCCATGTGAACTTTCTCAGCTTCGCCCAAGTCATGAAAAAAGAGCCCTACCAGCAGGTGAGCAAAAGTGATGGTCGTCACGTGATCACTACACCTCTTTTAACTTTGAATTAGTTTCATGACCCGGTAGAAAAATCTTGGGGTAAAAAATGTAGGTTTGGCCGGTGTTTTATTCTTATTATTTTTTATTTTT